TGATCCTATGAAAAACAGTTATCAGATGTGTGGCCCTGTGGAGTCCGTAACTTAATTTGTGCATATTCCCTGGGGACAGGATTACAGATTAGCTTCCCTCTAGGCCCAATTTGTGTAGCATGTGTATGTTTACTATGGTATTTTAAAAAAGAGAGTATAGTAGCATACCTGTCTTGTAACTACCCTAAAGCCTCAAACGTAACCTTTAAAAATCAGGAATGACATAAATTTGTAGGTGGTGTTCACATTAATTTGTATTCAGAAAACAATTTACAATAGGGTCACATCCCGTTAATGTCCTGTTATTTGACCTAGAGTAGCATTCACTGTTGCAGATGACCAGAAGCCTATTCACTGTTTTACAGATGACACAGAAACTTCTTATCCTGAAAGCACAGACCTCTCTGTTTCGGTCTTGTGGTAGGAGTCCTTACAGATGAAGGGTCAGTACTAAGCAACCAGCTTTCAAATCTGAATTCACCCCAGTTTCCTGGAAATAGTTGTTCACAAATGATTGTCTCTTCTTTTTTGCTAGATTGTAAGGCTTTAGTAAATGGGAGAAGATACGGTTTTGCCCTACGGTCTTAATAACGCCCAAGACTGTTAAACTGGTTTTAATATGGCATCTCAGCCTTCCGTAGTGCCTCTGCAGCCATACTGTTGACCTTTTCTAGGCAGGTGGGACTGGCATTGGGGGTGGTAACAAGCAAGCTGGTATTCGCAGGTGGCTCTTGTCAAGGTCTTCCAGGCACATGGAACAAAGTGTGGTTTTGCAGAACTTGCAGGATTTTTTCTTTGAACATGTTGGACACAGGCTTGCTGATATTAAATCCAGGTGAAACTCTGCCTATTGCTTCCAGAGGAACAGGGACTGCTATCTGTGTTCAGACTTGCAGCTTTTTTATTCCTGTGAATACTGTAATTCATTGTTAGAGCTACAGACGAGGTCTGGTGGACATGCTTTTTTGAAGTCCAACTTCATGTGACTTTTCAGATGCTTGTCCTTATTTTTCATTATTTCTGTTGCAGTGTACAAGACCTTCTAAAATACTTAGCAAAAACAGTGTCAGATATTTCAAGTCTTAACCTGAAGTATATCTGCAGTGGGTCTTTTCACTACTGTTTTTCTTCGACTTCTACTCTGTCTCAGGTGATTTAAAAATCCAAGGATTATAATATCTTGAGTGCAGTAACACTGAACTGGAGGGCAAGAAGTCCTGCAATTAGAGATATGCCACTGGCTGTGCAGCCATTGAATGAAAGGCTTGACCTAACCCCAAATAGGCTTCAAATTTTAACTTTGCCACAGGAAATGTCCCCATGTATGCTCCATCCCTGGTCTATGTGATGAGCTTGTGATTTCCTTTCAGATGGCAGTCCTTATGAGCATGGCTTTTACCCAGTGTTTCAGAGGTTGCTTTGTTGGTTTTATAGCTGGTATTGGAGTTAGAGAGCAAATGTGAAAAACAGCTTCAAAAGATCTCCTCAGAGAAAGTACTGCTCAGAGTTTGTATTTAATCTGTAGTTGTTGGTTTCTGTGGGAGTTACCAAACCAGTTGAGCTACAGCACTGGCATGAAGCCAAATGAAAAATACAGTTTTCTTCACTGTAAACATGACTGTCAAGCAGTAATGTTTTTCTCAGCTTCATTTTAAAGGCATTATAATGGAACAAAATTAAACTAAAACACGTTTTTATGCCAGTATTATACATGAAAGAATGTTACTTCTTTTTTCTTGTAATGAAAAACTCTTAGAGAATAGAACATCCAGAATTATGTCTTAATATATATATAATCAGTTATCTGTGTTGCTGGATACTTGATGGAGTTGGTGAACCAATACATTTCTTATTCTCATGCATTTATGGTGAGAATGCTTTTTTTTTTTTTTTTTGCCTCTGCAAACATGGAAGATATGTAAAGTTATTTATTTTTAGTCCTGTTTTGATAACAGAAAAAAATAGTGCCTGATAAAACTTTGTGAATAATAACAGCAAACACTAATCTCTATCCACTCCTTCAGGCTTATTTTTAAACTCTCTTTTCAGTGGCCAATAGCTCTGTTAACTCGTCATCAGGTATTCTGCTGAACTTGGCTATCCTTGCTTTGCTTTTGGGATTTATTCTGTTGGCAAATGTGTAACTTCAGCTTTGCCTTTATAAGATAAGAGCGAACTATATTTAATGCTTACAGTGATTTCATGAGGATGTCATCATGTAGGTGCAACTGCACCAAATGGGGAACAACAGCATTTTCACTTACTTTTCAGGATTAAATTTATCAGAGTTGTCTGCTTTGCCTGTAACTCCCCCCATTTTATTTTGCAGAGTGAGGAAAAAGCTCGTTTAACAAAATGTCGGATCAGCTGCTACTTTGTAAAATGGCTTTTTGGGTACTAGGAACAGAAGTTGCATCCTGAAGAATGGATGTCAGCATCCATGTAACTTGATGCACAGAGGATGAGAAATCCTTCAGTTGTGTTTCATTGTTTGAATGAGCTTTTTTTAAGAGTTTAATAATGGAAAAGTAAGAAATGGGACTGGAAGGGACTTTTATAAGGGCCTTCTCATCTGCCCTGTCTTTTAAGAGAGAACCAGATGCAGTGAAACCTCTCCTGACAGATAACATCTCTTGCTTCTTTCTTGTAACAGCAATTCCTGTGTTTCCCTATATAATCTGTGCTAATGCTTCAGGTGATTAGGAAGTTCTTTTAAGTATATGTAGATCATTGAACAGCAGAATTTTAGACTAAATTTTATTAGGATTGGCACATTTTTATTTGCATATCTAATCCTTTTATCAAAAAACTCAACCTGTCTCACTTGGTCCAGATATTTGCAGGTATAGAGAAATTAAGAAGTTGTTGAAAGCAGACGTACATGCTGTAGATGAATTAATGAAATGGTGTCCGGATCTCTAAATGAAAAATGATGAAAGTTACACAAAGATCTGTGGACTTCTCTGTAAATCTCCTGAGTGACGCTGATGCTGAAATCAGCCAGGAAGGTCCTTATTTCATCGTGTGATGGAAATAACACCAAACCAATGTTCTGATTTTGCATTTACTGCTCAGTGCTGTATATGGTGCAGTAGTAATGGGTTCTGTTTAGGTTTTGAAGATGATAGTCAAGGAGACTCCATATGTAAGATCTTCAGGATCTTGTTTATGAGTGGTAACATCACTGTTTTCTATAGCAATGTCCCATGTTTACCCTAACAAATAAGCTGTTCTTTTGGACCTTGGGATGAGCCAGCTCCTCTGAGTTCAAGGTACTGTCCCAGCAAGGAAATGTTGAAAACAACAGGCTATTGTTGCACTTGGGCGTGCACTGTCCTGGGCTCTGGGCGTCTGTATCCTGCCTTGCAGGAGTTGGGAGCTCAGTCACAGCCTCTGGCTCTGGGCAGGCAGCCCTAGTTTCAAAGAAACAGTAGAACACTGATGGCTGCTGTCACCAGCAGTGGTCACAGGGCAGCAGCAGCTCCACTGTTGAGGAAGGTTTTCTTAAGCCATAGGGTTTAAGAAGTCTGTAGAGGAGTAATGAGGTAATTCTGTGGATCTTTGTGAGGAATTTTCTGCAGTGTAATAAGGAAGAAGCACATAGAGCAAGCTTTGAAAACTTCCCAGGTGGCAGTGGTACTTCCACAGCAGTAGAAGTGAACATTTCAATAATGGAGAAGAGAGGAGGGATGAGATGGAGGTTGGCCAGGAAGGATCCTCAAATTGCAGAAAAGGTGCTATATTTAGGGAAAAATAGGGGAATTGATAGCAGGGGAAAAAAGAAACCCTCAAGGAAGTAGACCTGGGACATGGCATGGACTAAGGAGGGTGTTTTCATTAGTGTTCGAAGTAAGAGTGCAATAGACTTGTATTTACTGATGACAGTAAAAGGGATGTTGCAATGATCAAGGGACAGGGAGATAAAAGTCCAGGCAAGGGTTTTAGCTGTGTATAGCTAGGTAAGAATGACTGTGAGAGAAGTTACTCTGAAAGAGCTGCAAGCATTTAGATCTAGTTCATTATCTACTGATTTAATGATTATTTTATTTAGTTCTTCCTGTCACGAAAGGAGGGTGATGGGCTTTTGGCTCAGATCTTTTTTTGTGGTTTGGTTTTGTTTGAGTTTTTTTAACTTCTCTTGCTTTTTATTTCCTATTCTTTCCTCATGCTACAAGATCATTTTGCTGGGGTGGGAGCAGGGCTTTTTGCCTGCTTACCTGTGTTTCACATTAAAAAGTTGGGAAAGCAACCCACAGAGAATGGCTGGCATCTCTGCAAAGCAAGGAAGCACGCTAGCATTACTGTTTCCTAGTAAAGAGAAGTAGGAAGAGTAGCATTAACGAAAAAAAGGAAAACAAAAAGGAAGGGAAATCATTAGAGAAATGTTGATAGCCATGAGGAAGGTGTTGCATAAGACTCAGTGTTTTTTCTTTAACTGGGTAAATATTTCTAGTGTTATTTCAAAACTATTCAAGAGAAGGGGATAAAGCTCTTATGGAAGTATCAAAGCAGCAAAAGCAAAGGGATTCAACTGGCTTAAGCTGTTCAAAATGGATTAACTGCATTTCAAGTTGAGATGCTGCCATGGTGGGCAGTAGCACTCAAAAGCTTAGGAGGGCTTCAGGTCTCCTAATTTCAGGCATTGCCAGGGAGATTTCTTTTGATGACCACATGCAGTGGAGAATATGAATTTACACTTGTAGGTGCAAACTGATTCTGACCATGGTGACTAGGTTGTTCTATGTACGTCTGTATGAAGACAGATATTGACATTTTGTCACTTACAGAAACATCCAGTAAAGCAATGAGAATGAGCTTACATGTGTCTTTTGGTCATTTTTTTTGAGTGTAACAATGCTGCAGGCAGGGAGGTACTTCTTAAGGTCCTGTACCTGTTTCCCTGGGAACTTTGAGATGATCCTCCTGCTTCTATTTTCTGTAAGCCAGGGTTACACCAGCTTTCTGTACTGACTTGGCTCTTGTGCTGTTCATTTCCCCAGCTCGGAAGTCCAAAAAGTTGGGGAAATTGAAAGGGATGCATGAGGAGCAGCCACAGCAACGGCAGCAACCACCACCCCAGAGCCCCGAGGAAGGGACGACATACATCGCGCCCGTGACTGAGCCCTCTGTAAACACAGCGCTTGTCCCCCACATGTCTGCTATCTCACCAGCACTTACTCCTTCTCCTGTTAAGATCCTTGAAAGCATTGAGCCGGAGATCGTGTATGCAGGATACGACAGTTCGAAGCCAGACACAGCGGAGTACTTGCTTTCCACCTTAAACCGCCTGGCCGGCAAGCAGATGATTCAGGTGGTGAAGTGGGCAAAGATACTTCCAGGTAACACCACAAAGCATTTGGTGAAACTTCACTGTTTCTTTTAGCTTAGTGAACTGTTTGCTTGAGAAATTACGTCTTTAATCTGTGAGCTGTGTGTGCTTACATGGGTGTGCGAGATGAACATGTAAGAGAAGATTGTTCGGGGTTTTTTTTTTATTTATGTCACTTTTGCTTCATATGTCCGTGATCAGTATTTTACAAACATTCATTTTGAATAATAGCCAAGAAAACATGTTTTGTCACTGGAATGAAAAATTATGGCTGTGTTTCTTTCAGAAGTATACTCTGTGTGGGAGTGCCGCTCTTGTTCGTCAATACTGGAAAAATAATCAGTAATGTACTCAGTGCTGGTTGGGCCAACCCTTGCAGAGTGCAGCATAGTTTACAAGTTTTTTCTGGTTTGATTCCTAGGATTTAGAAATTTGCCTCTCGAGGACCAAATTACTTTAATTCAGTATTCATGGATGTGTCTGTCATCATTTGCCTTGAGTTGGAGATCGTACAAACATACAAACAGCCAGTTCCTCTATTTTGCTCCAGACCTGATCTTCGATGAGTAAGTATTCCTTAATGGTCCTTTTCACTGCAAGCTGGAAGGATTACTCTGTCTTTATTTGGTTTTCAGGCATAGCTGCTGTCTAAGAAAATTTCAGCTAATTCAGGCTTAAAGTAGCTTAATTTTTCCACTCAGTTTTCAATTGGCAAAGCTTTGATATTGCCATCCACTTCTCCTTATATATGTGGATGTGACTTCAAATTAGGACCATTCTCATTGCTGAAAAATATGACTGATACATGACCAGGATTTGTAGGGAAAAAAACCAACATTTTTTGGTATCTACTGGAGCTTGGAAAAATATCTAACTTCTAGGAAATGTGAATGTTTAAATTACCAGTTTTATTCAGAGCAGTCTTATAATGGTGCTTTTGTTAACAATATGCAGCTGTTCAATGTGTTTTCTTGACAATCTTAATTACCCTTCTTTGTAATCATGAAAGAAGCCAAAATGTTTTTTCAGTAATGAAATATAACTTCTTTTATGATGCATTCAGAAAAAAAAGAAAGCTCAACCAAGGAACCATTCCTTCTGAGTATGTGTTCCTCTGTATTTTAAGTTTGTATTTTAGTGCTTTGCTTTTGATGAGTATAATTTAATTTCTGTTCCATTCCTCTGCTGTTTATTCCAAGACAGTAAAGTCAAAACTTAAGACACTGCACAGGCAGTCAAACTGGGGTCATGTCCTGTGCTTATCCCAGAAGCTTTTTGTTTGTTTATTTGTTTTCTAGAGGTACAAATGAGCCATGATGATCGGTATATGGGTGCTCTTGAAATAAACCACAAAAATAAAAAAAAAAAATGAACAAAAAATAACTTACTGCTCAGTCTCCTGAAGCAGTCTGAAATGTTTTTCTTGGCAAAGATGTTTTGTCACCATTCATCTTAATAGTCTTTCTTAGATTGAGGAATTCCTAAATAATTAATGTATATGAGATAGGTCCCAAAGCAATGAGCAATATCAAAGGAGGATGGTTTAGTTTGGTGCTTTTTTGTTTTGTTTTAAGAGGAGATTCACTGCATGTGGTTGAAAACGTAGTGTCAGCCATTTTCCTTGTTGAAAGCACCTCCACTGTGACTTGGACATTAGAGAATCATAACAGCAAAAGTATCTGTAGCTAAAGCTAAGTGAAAATGTGAACTTCAAAGAGTTTCGTTCTCCTGGGGAAATGTAGACTAAAAGTTCAAACACAGAAGCAGCCTTCCTTCATCTGAAGATAGTCAGTCAGGGGTCAAAATTTATTGGACAGGGAAATCAATCCCACTTGCAAATAAAAGTGTATGTGCATTGCTAGCATTTGTGGTACTGCAGCTAGAAGCAACTTCCAGAAGTCGAGATCGATTGTGAGGTTTTTGCTGCAAGCCTTGAAGGTAGGTGCCTGCAGAATTATACTGAGCTTGAGGTTGGGATCAAGTCAGGAAAAGGAGTGTGAAATAAAAACATCCAAAACCAGATATGTATGTAAGATAGTGGCCTGCTCCTGTACTTAGTTATAGATTGAGAATGTACTCATTGCAGAGCTACGAAAGATAGCACAAGCGTGTTCCAAGATTCTCACATCGCCAATTAGGGTGGTAGTTGCGAGACTTTGCTTGGAGTCCAGGTTTTAGGCTCCCCAGCACAGGAAAGTTGTTGAGAAACTTAAGAGACCCATGGAGATTGGCCAAGGTAGTCAGGGTCTGGCTGGGACAAGCAGCTGCTCAAGCAGCCAAGAGAAGACTGTGCTGGGTGCAGTGCAGGTTTAATCAGCTTCCTGATGAGCTGTGGAAAAAATGAGAGTCAGACTCTTCATGGAGGTGTCAGTGGAAGGATGAGAGGCTGCAGCCCTGTGTATGGGACAAAAAACTTCCTCCTGGGCAGCAGAAGAAGTTTCATAATGAGATGGAGAAACAACAAAGCAGGTGTCCAGAAAGGTCCTAGAATCTCTGTTGTTGAAGATGTCTAAGCCTTGACTGGGCAAAACACCCTGAGCACCCTGCAGAACTGTTAGGGTTGGAAAGGACCTTAAAGCTCATCCAGTTCCAACCCCTTGGCATGGGCAGGGACACCTTCCACTAGACCAGGTTGCTCAAAGCTCCATCCAGCCTGGCCTTGAACACTGCCAGGGATGGGGCAGCCACAGCTTCTCTGGGCAACCCGTGCCAGTGCCTCACCACCCTCACAGTAAAGAATTTCTTCCTTATACCCAACCTGAATCTCCCCATATATCTAATTAAGTGTACTGTTGGTCTTTTTGGATCATGTGTATATTCCACTGCTTTAAGTGGGCTTAAGTAAATACAAAGATGAGATCTGAGAGATTAGAAAATGGCCACTCAGCCTGCTACTGAAATGCCTAAAAACAGCTTGAAAAGAATAGCCGTAATGGGCCAGTGTGTTTTGTGTTGTGTTTGTATATGTTACAGGATGTGGGTGTTTTTAATCAATTTCTTTTGTAGCATAGTAGTTTTAGTCAAAACTAATATTCTGTATATACAGCTTTAGTTTTAATCCACAGTAAATCCTTAAAAGACTGTCATATATGTGACACCACATAATTCCTATTGCAGGTAAACACTCTTAAGTATGACTGTTGCATATGTAATTACACTCAAAGGGTGTTGCAATGATGTTCTTAAGGCTGCAAGCTCAAATCTGAGAAATTGCAAAATCCCTAAATTAAGGTTGTCTGTGAAATCGTAGTTTGAGCCCTTTGGTACGTGCTTTGAAGACTGTGTCCATAACCAAACTTAAAAGTTATGTTATCCTGTAATGCTTTTCCCACGTGGCTCCTTTGGTCAGGTTGGTTAAATTGTAGCGATGATACCGGACTATGCAATAAGAGACAGTTGGATTTTTGCTTCATTTTTTGCTGGTGAGGGGGCCTTCCCTTGAATGGATCTGAGGATTTGGGAGAACAGAGAGATATTAATGGAGAAGATTTCCTCAAGACATGGCAAAAGACTATCCCTGATTCAAGACCTAAGCTCAGAGACATTTCAGGTTGCTACAGCAAAGTAACAGAAATCCCACAAAAAAACAAAAAGGCAGTGGCTGTTGTTTATTTAACTCGAGGGAGGGAGACAATTTCTCTTTAGACTTAACCAAACACTTCAGCTGAAATTTTCTAATCTAATTCAACCTGAGGCAGGCACACGCATGGACAATTTAAGTCCAGAGCATTAAATTGGTAAAATTACACACAGTTGAAAGCAGGAAACTTGAGTGGTGCTGCTTGGAATAGGTGCAAAAACAAAGTAAGGGATGTAGCAAAACACAGTGGTTTTTAACGCTAGCTTATTTTCAGGGATTCTGTCTGAAGCTATGCAAAATTAACTGTTTGCTGCAGGGAACAGCCTAAAATGTGATTTTTAAGACATGGTCCTGGAAGGTAGGGAAGTTAGTTTCAGATTTCCCTGGTCTCTCCCTTACTAGATGAATTACTCGTTGAACCAGTAGCTAAAATGATTCTCTGGCTCTGTCCTTTCAAACAAAAAGTACTCAACATTTTGGGGCGGCATGACAGTTTTGGTCATAGAAAAAAATCTGATGATCCAGGTCTTTCAGTACTAGGAGTTTATGTGTTTGTAGTGCAGAAGTCAGGTGCCCAAATCCCAGAGGGAGGCAAGGGCTGCTACTCCTTGCTCATGTTTCTGTGACAGGCTCAGGCAGTTCCTGTCCCGCTGGCTAGTGGTGGCAACTTCCCGGGTATCTGCTTCCACCCATACATCAAGTCAGGGCATCGGCTGGCAACCTTTCAGAGGCTCAGGGAGGGATAAAAAGCATTTACGAGTGCAGCACTGCCAACAGAAACCCAGCAGGAGCCAAGACAGTGTGTGACAGAGATTCTTGCTTCCCCCGACATGGGAAACCAGCAGGAGCGGTGGGACATGGGCTGCCTTTGGGGTCACAGCTTGCGCTCACAGCACAAATCCCCCTCCCAGCTGGAAGCCAGAAACTGCATCCCTCATGGCAAACTGCCTTGCTTATCCATCCCTTCCCCTAAGGAAGAGGAATGGTGGTTTTTCATCTCCCCATAGGGCAGAAACCCAGCTGATGGCATTGCTGACCACTGTTAAAAATCAGGCATCCTCTTAGGCACTCACTGGCTTCTGCTGGCATAAAGAAAACAGAGTGCCAGCCTGACACTGGAGGTCCCCTGCAGGTCTTGATTTTCCCTTTGATTGTAGGTTTTACATGGTCTTTTCGTAGACTTCTAAATCCTTGGGGACTTCTGAAGGAGAGACTCAAACTCCAGAATTGCTTACTATTTTTAGGCAATTTACCCAAATAATCTTTTTTAACATTCCAGCCTTATCTAGCTGTAAAATAGCAATGGTGTGGGATACTGAAAGAGTTCAGTAATGCTCAGACACCACGTTAAGAAACTTTGGTACATTGAAGTGCAGCATCAATATTTCAACAGTAATTTGCAAATGGACCTAATGACTAATGTGCTGTATTTTCTTGTTCTTTGATTTCTCTTGGTTTGTCATCTGCAGCATAAAGAATAAATCACAGGTGTGTAAGTGTTCAGGTTCTGAGTTTCCTGGCTGTTGTACTTTCTTCTAACTGTCATAGGATTTTTACAGAGATTGTTATGCTACTCAAGGAGTTGAGGGTTTGCCTGATAAAAACAACAGAAGGCATTGTGCAAGGTACCCAAAATTGTTAAAGTGAACTTGAAAAACTGAGTCTGAAAACTGGGACAGTTTTCACAATCATTTGGATCAGTCGTGTCTTTCTTCCATCTCTAAGATCATTGTATGACATCATATGCAGCTCAGTCCTTATGGTAAAAAGGTTTCAGTAGAGGCTGTAGTTTATTGAATATTACGTACAAAATATGAGGTGCAAAATATACCAGTTGGTGCCTTTGACTGATAAGGCAAAGCTTCAGGCTTGAATTACAAAGGGACTGTCCTCTCATTATTGCCATTTCTAGTTTGTAGTGCAACATGGACGGCATTTTCATTATGAAATTCAATCATCTACTCCAGATATTTTTAAATAACCCAA